ATTTTGCATCCAGTTTTTTTCGCCAGCCAAGATTACAAAGTTAAAGCATGACATATATGTTTTCCATCAAGGTGACTCGGAGAACTTCGATGAAGCATGGAATAGGTTCAAAAACTTGTTGCGAAAGTGTCCACATCATGGGATTAGCTAGGGACTCCAAGTCCAATATTTCTACGCGAAATTGCTTCCATCCTTCAAGAGCATGGTTAACTCCTCATCTAACAGATCACTGTCCACAAGAACAATTGATGAAATACTGAAACTATTCGAGATAATGGCTAACATTAACCATGTGAACATCAGAACAAGCAGTTCAGAAGAGAAAACCGAGAGTTTATGAAGTGGACAAATATTCTGCTTTGTCTACAAAGATTGACTCATTATTTCACAAGGTGGAAAGCATGTCACAAGTAGCTAATGCAACACAAATGAAGAAGGTTAGTTGTAAGGAATGTAGAGCTGAACATGTAACAGCGGAGTGTCCAATCTTAGCACAAGGAATAGAGCAGAGATATTTTGCTCAATGGGGATAACGATAGCAGAATAATTCATTAGGGGAAAGATACAATCCGAGTTGGAAAAAGCACCCTAAGTTCTCTTGGAGCAACCAAAATTAGAATAGGCCACAGGGTCAGTATCAACAGCGAGAGAAAAAGCCTCAACTGGAAGAAATGTTCGAAAAATTCATGAAAAAGACTAATCAGTACATGGAAGCCAATAATCAGTTCATGAGAAAAATCGAAGCCATTCTTCAAGACCAAAATGTTGCCACCGAAAATCTGGAGACTCAAATGGGATAGATGGCAGTTGCTTTGACTGGCAGAGCACCAGGTAGTTTGCCACAAAAATAAACCAAAGGAACATACAAAGGCAATTACAACTCGAAGTGGGGTGCAGCTACCTGAAATACATGTTAAAAGGTCGGGTGTAAATAAAGAAACAACACCTCCTGCGGTAGAAGAGCCTGTGGAGCATGATGAGCGGATGAAGAAATCTACCCCGACAGAAGGTTCAGGCACATCACTAGATAAAGCAACAACAACCGTCAACCTTTATGAGCCTCCCATTCCATTTTCACAAAGGCTAAAGAAGTAGAAGATGGAGCGGCAATATAAAAGTTTCTCGAAGCTTTTAAGAAGCTCCACATAAACATTTCATTTGCCGAAGCACTAGTCCAGATGCCTAGCTACACAAAGTTCCTGAAGAACATCCTATTAAATAAACGTAAGTTAGGAGAACATGAGACGGTCATGCTAACTGAAGAATGCAGTGTGAGAATTCAAAAGAAGCTCTCACCGAAATTGAAAAATCCAAGGAGTTTCACTGTCCCTTGTACTATTGGTGAAGTATATTTTGATAAAGCTTCATGTGACCTTGGTGCAAGTATAATTTAATGCCTCTTTCTATTTTTAGAAAACTTGGATTGGGAGAGACAAGGCTACCACTGTGACATTGCAGTTAGCTGACAGATCATATCCATGAGGGATAATTGAAGACGTGCTGATTAAAGTGGAGAAATTTATCTTCCCTACTAATTTTCTCATTTTGGATATGGAGAAAGACAAGGATATTTCACTGATATTCGGCAGATAGTTCTTAGCCATTGGTAGAGCTCTGATTGATGTTCATAAAGGATAGTTGATTCCGAGATTGGGAGAGGAGCGGATTTCTTTAAATATCTTCAAGGCAATAAAGTTACCTAAAGTGTCAGATAGATGCTTCCAGATCGACATGATTGACAAGGTGGTTCAAGATTCATTCCTACTACATAATCCATCAGATGCTTCAAAGCTTGCATTGCACACTCTCAATCAATAAATTCTGATTCTTGGGAGATTGAAACATGTTCGAGGTTTTTTGATACCAACCCACTTTACCCACGCAAAAGGTACTTTAAGGAGCTTGGAACAGGACCCACGAAGCCACTACAATCCATTCAGCAGCCACCTACATTAGAACTCATGCAACTGCCAACACATCTTAGATTTGCCCACTTGGGAAAGTCTTGTACACTTTCGATCATTATCTCGAACACAGACAGCGAAGTGGAAGAGGAAAAACTACTTAGGGTGCTTAAGGACAATAAAACAGTGATTAGATAGGGTATAGCAGATATTAAAGGGATCAGCCCTTCATTGTATATGCATAAGATTCTCATGGAGGGGAATTTTCGGCCAACCATAGAGAGTCAATGGAGGTTAAATCTCAATATGAAGGAAGTTGTCAGAGCAGAGGTACTCAAGCTTCGAATGTAGGAATCATATATTCGATATTTGACAGTGCAGGAAACATCTTGACAGGGTAGTTCAAGATTCATTCCGACTGCATAATCCATCAGATGTTTACGAAGCTTGCATTGCACACTCTTAATCAATACATTCTGATTCTCGAGAGATTGAAACACGTGCAAGGTTTTTAGATACCAACCCACCTTATACACGTAGAAGGTACTTTGAGGAGCTTGGAACAGGACCCACGAAGCCACTACCATCTATTCAGCAGCCACCTACATTGGAACTCAAACAACTGCCACCACATCTCAGATATGCCTACTTGGGAGAGTCTTGTACACTCCCAATCATTATCTCGAACATAGTCAGCAAAATGGAAGAGAAGTAACTACTTAAGGTACTCTGGGAAAATAAAAAAGTGATTAGATGGACTATAGCAAATATTAAAGGGATCAACCCTTCACTGTGTATACATAAGATTATCATGGAAGAGAATTTTCGGCCAACCATAGATAAGAAGGTTGAATCCTAATATAAAGAAAGTGGTCAGAGCAGAGGTACTCAAGCTTCTAGATACAAGAATCATAAATTAAAACTACTTAGGGTGCTTAAGGACAATAAAACAGTGATTAGATAGGGTATAGCAGATATTAAAGGGATCAGCACTTCATTGTATATGCATAAGATTCTCATGGAGGGGAATTTTCGGCCAACCATAGAGAGTCAATGGAGGTTAAATCTCAATATGAAGGAAGTTGTCAGAGCAGAGGTACTCAAGCTTCGAATGTAGGAATCATATATTCGATATTTGACAGTGCAGGAAACATCTTGATAGGGTAGTTCAAGATTCATTCCGACTGCATAATCCATCAGATGTTTACGAAGCTTGCATTGCACACTCTTAATCAATACATTCTGATTCTCGAGAGATTGAAACACGTGCAAGGTTTTTATATACCAACCCACCTTATACACGTAGAAGGTACTTTGAGGAGCTTGGAACAGGACCCACGAAGCTACTACCATCTATTCAGCAGCCACCTACATTGGAACTCAAACAACTGCCACCACATCTCAGATATGCCTACTTGGGAGAGTCTTGTACACTCCCAATCATTATCTCGAACATAGTCAGCAAAATGGAAGAGAAGTAACTACTTAAGGTACTCTGGGAAAATAAAAAAGTGATTAGATGGACTATAGCAAATATTAAAGGGATGAACCCTTCACTGTGTATGCATAAGATTATCATGGAAGAGAATTTTCGGCCAACCATAGATAAGAAGGTTGAATCCTAATATAAAGAAAGTGGTCAGAGCAAAGGTACTCAAGCTTCTAGATACAAGAATCATAAATCCGTCATCAGACAATGCTGGGACTAGCCCAGTCTAGGTTGTGCTAAAGAAAGGTGGAATCACAGTGGTGCCAAACGAGAAGAATGAGCTAATTTCTACTAGAAAAGTTACAGGATTGAGGGTTTCCCTTCTGTTTATTGATCAGATGCTGGACAGATTGGCAGACCACTCACATTACTACTTTCTAATGGGTAATCAGGTTACAATCAGATACCAGTGGCACCAGATGACTAGGAAAAAAACCACTTTCACTTGGCTCTATGGTACCTTTGCATATCGTAGGATGCCATTTGGTCTTTGCAACGCTTCTACCATATTTCAGAGTTGCATGATGGCATTTTTCTCAAACATGGTAGAAAAGTTCATAGAATATTCATGGATGATTTCTCGGTCTTTGGGTCCTCATTTGACGAGTGTTTGGAGCACTTGAATTTGGTCTTACAAAGATGTAGGGAAACTAATTTAGTATTGAATTGGGAGCAATGACACTTCATGGTACAAGAGGAGATTGCACTGGGACACCGAGTATCAGCAAAGGGAATTGAGGTAGACAAAGCAAAGATTTAGGTCATTGAAAACCTACTGCCGTCTACATCAGTTAAGGGTGTTCATAGTTTTCGGGATCTGTCGGATTTTACAGAATATTCGTCAAGGATTTCACCAAAATTACTAAGTCGATATGCAAATTACTGATGAAGAACCTACTGTTTGAATTCACTAAGGAATACCTGATAGCTTTCAATTCCTTGAAGGAAAAACTCACTTCGGTGTCGGTAATCGTGGCACCAGACTGGGAAATACCTTTTGAGCTAATGTGTTCGCCAGTGATCATGCTGTCGGGGCTATATTAGGACAGAGGAAAAACAAAATCTTCCATGTGATCTATTATGCAAGTAAAACCCTAAATGACACACAAATCAATTATGCAACTATAGAGAATGAACTATTGGTCGTGGTTTACACCTTTGACAAATTCAAGTCGTATCTTGATGGGTTTAAGGTCATAGTGTACATAGATTACGTTTCATTGAAGTATTTTATGACAAAGAAAGACGCTAAATCGAGATTGATCCGCTAGGTTTTATTGCTACAAGATTTTGATATAGAAATCAGGGACAAAAAGGGCAGCAAAAATGTTGTGGCAAATCATTTATCTTGATTGGAACCTAGAGAGTCAGCAGAGCCCGTTGAGATAAATAAGATCTTCCGAGATGAGCATATATTCAGTGTGGAAGGAGAACCGTGGTAAGCAGACATAGTAAACTACCTGGCAAAATTTGTCCCGCCAACAGATTACTTAAGCCACCAGAGGAAAAAGTTCTTTACAGAGTAAAAATACTATTTCTAGGAGGACCCAATTCTCTATAGGCGGGGGACAGATCAGATTATTCGACGGTGTGTGCTTGTAGAAGCAATGCCTCAAATTTTGGAACATTCTCGTTCATCTGCATATGTGGGGCACTTCGGATTTTCAAAGACAGTAGCTAAGGTATTACAGTCGGGGTTCTACTGGCCTACATTGTTCAAGGATGCCTTCAAAATTGTGAAGAGGTATGATAGATGTCAATGCACTAAGAACATCTCAAGGATGAATGAAATGCTGCTAAATAGTAACGTGGAGGTAGAGATATTTGACTTTCAGAGAATCAACTTTTGGGACCTTTTCCCCATTGTTCTCAAATTAATAAATCCTAGTAGCAGTTGACTATATATCCAAGTTGTTGGAAGCAGCCGCATTACCAACCAATGATGCTAAAGGGGTAATTTGGTTCCTAAAAAAGTACATCTTCACCCGATATGACACACCGCTGGCTATACTTAATGATGGGACAAACACTTCTGCAATCGGCAGTTTGAGCAGCTCTTGAGTGTATATGGTGCCAAACATTGAATAGCCACCCCATATCACCCTCAAACTAACGAGCAAGTCGAAGTCTCCAATCGACAATTGAAGAGGATAGTTGAGGTCACAGTGAGTTCTTCCAGGAAAGATTGGTATAAGAAGTTAGATGATACACTGTGGGCTTATAGAACGGCATTCAAGATACCCATAGGCATGTCTCCATTTTACCATGTTTTTGGAAAAATGTGCCACTTGCCACTCGAGTTAGAGCACCGGACATAGTGGGCTATGAAACAGTTGAATATGGATTTGAAGGTGGCTGGTGAAAAATGGCTACTACAAATTAACGAGTTGGATGAGTTCAGAATGAAAGCATTTGAAAATTCAAAACTCTACAAGAAGCACACCAAAAAGTGGCATGATTTACATATTCGGAGGCAAGAGTTTGAAGTGGGACAGAAAGTACTGTTGTATAACTCAAGGCTCAAATTCTTCCCAAGCAAATTGAGGTCAAGGTGGTTAGGTCTTTACGCAGTTACTAAGGTGCTACCAAATAGAGCCATTGATATCAGTCATGAAAGCAAAGAGAACCTTCACAGTCAATGGACAAAGGCTGAAGCATTATTGGAACGGAGAATTTTCCAAGGAAAAGTCAACAGTCCTTTCATGACACCAGAATGAACCATACATGGGAGATTTGAGCTATCGACTATAAACTAGCGTTGGATGGGAGGCAACCCATCGTATCCTTTTAGTTTAAATTGTTTCTTTTGCATTAGTTTAGGAACTTTTCATATTTTAGCATGTTACGTATTTATAGGTCATCGGTCTTCCATATTGGTCAAAAGGAGTCGAAGCATGTTCCACACACATCCCAATGTATTGAGCACAAGTCAGGAGTTTCAAATTGGTGTTTTGGTGGTTGAGAGGAATTTTACACATTTCAAGGCAAAATCAAGGCTTTTTACTTTTTTTGGGGTCAAAGTATGCTTTCAAGTTTAAAAATTGATTTTGAAACAAGGTTCACAACACAAATGCCACCCATATGGTCTAAATTATGCTCTTGCAATTTTAGGGGTAGTGAAAGACCAAGTTCGAGTTGCAATTTGAAACCGAGTTCCAAGATTTTTTTTTTTTTGGGAAAAGGGTAAAGTGTGTTTCATGAACTCTTTCACGTGCACACACTTATCACGACAATTTCAATATGGAGGCATGAATTTCTAAAAAAAAAAAAAAACTTCGTTCAGAATTTTGTCTATGCAGTCGCATAGACATACTGTCCGTGAAACTTCATAGAGAGCAACTAAGAGTTGAAAGGAGGCCGAGTTTCATTCTATGCGACCGCATGGATTAGCACCATGTGGCCACATTGACAAAAAAGGTCACGAGTTAAAAACCCGTGACTTAAACATTTCCAACACATCCCTAACACACAACACGTACTAGGCCACTTCCCTCTACCTCTTTTCTCGATTGATCCCACACTCGTACACATACATCTTATTGAAAACACATCGTACAGCATTGGGAAAATTTTTCACACGACGTCCATTCACTAAAGATTGCAATCTCCCATCTATCTCCAAAGAAATTCAAGGTATGAAAATAAATTACTTATCTTTTGCTATATAATTTCGTTATGTGCAACGAAGTTTGGTGACTTGAAGGAGATTGGGATTGATTGCACCGTGATGGGTTATTTGCATGGGGCATTGATGAATTGGGAATTGGTATTTACAATTATCATGTAGTTCTAATAGAAAACGAGATTGCTTTAATGTGTTATATAAAATGCCTAAGAGAAGGGTTGTTTGCATTTTTGGCAATCTTATATTTCATTTATGTGATATGTGACTTGAGGAATATATTGTGATGAATGCCCATCAAAATTGCATTGGATAACACAAACTACCATCTTTGACCATATATATAGGCACAATAGGATTATCTCACGTCCCTCACTTTGCACCGTCATTTGACAACCCAAACGACGTCCAAATGACCCAAAATTTGAATATGTGCTAAAGTAAATTGAATACTTTCATATGCTTTGAGATTGCCCAGGAAAAATTCGACGTTTCTCGATGGTGCTTGGGGTAAAAGTCCTAGTTCGACTACAGGTGTGAATTGGACAAATTGCACGTTTGAGCTAAGTTTTGTTGGTTTTTGACATTTTCTGATACGAACTCTATTTTTGAAACATATTTGATGCATTTTGCACACCAACTTTGTACACACGCACCTTGAAACAAGTTTGGGGGCTTATGCTTTATATATGTTCCTTCGTGTCCCTTCAATATTAGTTTATACTTTGTGGTCTAATACATTATTATACATCTTTGCAGCATGCTACCTAAAAAGAACATCCAAAGGAAAGGAAAAATATGGATCCTCATCGGGTACGGTACGCACCAGAGAGCCTAAAAGGGGCGTAGGGAGATTTCTCACCCCCGAGACTGCAGCCCATTTTTCAAAGATAATTAGCCACTGGGCAACAATTCCAAAGAGGCCCATCAAGCTGGATGATTTCCTCGATTTTGAGATAGTCACATTGGTCCAACTTTGTGAATGGGAGAAAGTGGTAGAACGACCTAACCCAATTTATGGAAGCTTGGTTAGGGAGTTCTATGCAAACTTCAATGCTGAAATAGATACTCCAGGGTCAGAACATCTACATCAGACATAGGTGAGAGGAAAATGGATTATGTTCTCACCTAAGTTTATACATGACTATTACCAGCTCAGTTGGAATGAAGTGGTCCCCATCCCGATTATTTTCAATTGGAATGAAACAGCCGAGGTACTCTTGGGACGAGAAAATGCATGTCCCCTCCCAACAGCAGATTGGTACCAGATAAAGCTCACGCCATCTATAGCCATCTAATGGCTATTCATGTATCACAATATCGAACACATCACACATAGGACAACATTCACTAATCCAAAGGTAGGGTTCATGTATCATCTAGTTCGGGAAAACAAAATTGATCTGACCACCTACATTTATAATCAAATACACACAATTGGAACATGGGGTAGCAGACATTTTTTAATGATATTCCCGAGCCTAATCAGCGAGATTTGTAGGGCTGAGAGTATCACCATCCCATAAGAGAAAGTACCTGAGAAACCCAGCCCTTTCATCAAGCACACTACATTGGAGGCTCAGGACCGAGCCAGAGAAAAGCATCAAGAAAAGCTAGAGAACAAGCATCATAAACAACATCAGGCCAAGGCAGGACAGGTAGTTGAAGATATGGAGATGCCATAAGCTCCTCCACCACAGGTTGATGTCGATACACAGCTATTGAGATAGATGTTTGCTACTATAATTGGGTCCAGCTGGGACATTAAAATCCTTCAGGAAGCATTTGAAACTATGAGTACAAATATCCAGTAGGTGCGGGGATAACATGGCAATCACACGAAACTTCGCATCAAATGCCAGTAGAGAGTCCTTTGCAACACGGAGAGAGTTTGACACCATCAATGGGAGATTGGGCATGTACATTGGTTGGATGGATGGCATTTAGTGGATAGTAAATGAGACATGGGACCGTCTGGGCAATTTGGCGGCTAAGGTTCAAGCTATGCAAGCCGAGTAGGCCCAACAATTCAAACTATAGAGATAGATCTTGTCCCACTTACCTCCACCACCAGGAGATGACACTGCAGGTCCCAGCTTTCCGTCACCACCACCATATTGATCAGGGAAGTATCATATAACTCACTTTTGTACTTGCGTTCTGATTTTGTCCTTCAAATTATGTCTTTTTAAACTTATACTTATTCACACATTGAGGACAATATATTGTATAAGTTTGGGGGAGGTCGCATAATTTGGCATCTATTTTTTGTTGCATTTGTTATATTTATCAAAAATTGTGGTTAATTGTTACATTCTACGTTTGTTGAGTGTTACAAAAAAAATTCAGAAGACTGCATGCTTTATTCAATTTTTTTGTCTTATGTGTTTGGGTGTGTTTGATAGTTTGGCCGACTATGATATGATTATTGGAATAGGTATGTAGTAGGAACTATGGATATGGTACAACAATTTGATAAACTTATACTTGTTGATGTGATACTTAACATTTTTGTTGCGCACGCACTCATGTTCTGCATGTTAGGTAATGGTTGGGGTGGCAAACAAGTAGGAAAATGCCGAAAACCCTCCACCGTAGTGACCCATAAACATATGTCAGATAGTTTGGAGATGGTTAGACAATTATGGGAGAACTTGGAGATAGATGAAGGCTCTGTTTATGAAAATGTATTGCGTGGATTGCCTAGACCAACATGGTAAAAATTAGGTAAAAGTCTTGAGTTGGGGCTTGGTTTTGGAAATTGAATGTCTAGAAAAACAAAGAAGGGTATAAGCTAATATGTGTAAAAATAACACTCTTCCCGAGCCTTTTTCAACTCACTCTCTTTTGCATAGAAGTTGACCTTTGGCTTTTTTCTCCGCTCAGCTGACTCTTTTTCTCTCCGCTCAACTGACTCATTTTCTCTCCGCTCATGTGGCTTCTCTCTCTTTTCTCCACTCTCAGCCACCTCACTATTTTCTCTCTTAATGATGGTTTCACTATTGCCTCTCCTTTTTCCTGACTTTCTTATTTTCTCATCTTCCTCACTTTTCAGCTTGATTTGATCTCTATACACTTGTGCCGGTGCTAATGGCGCAAGAGTAATAGTCTTCCCATCCTTGACAAAGCTATAACGATTCCTATATCCATCATGTGTGACCCTTCTATCATATTGCCATGGTCTTCCTAACAAGATATGACCCACATGCATAGGTACCACATCACATACTACTTTGTCACTATAACTCCCAATTGAGAAATTAATTAAAACTCTTTTATTCACCTTAACTTTCCCAATTTCATTCAACCATTGCAACTTATAAGGCCTAGGGTGTCTTAACAATGCTAATCCTAATTTCTCAACTAAAGTTGTACTAGCTACATTCGTACAACTCCCACCATCAATAATCATACTACATACCTTATCGTTGATGTAACA